TGCTTTCAATTTGATTGTACGCATGCGTTTAAGTTGACTTATGGCATCTGAACAAGCATAGAGTGAGTAACGGCTGTAACTAATGCTGGCTAAACAGCTTCTGATTCCGAATTTTGGAGGCTTCAAGTACGTGAATCTATCTCGGCAATGGTCAGTCATGGACTGCTGTGATCGCCAAAAGAACGAATCAAATTAATTAAGTAAAGTACTGAGGTTATGGAGACCCACTAACCAAAAGCTTTTTTTCGAGACGTTTGCGATACTCTTTTGGCCAAACTTAAAAATCATTAGAAAAAAACTCTCTGACCTCCAGCTTGCACTGCTTATCACAATTCTCGCTCAATATACTACAATAAAACAAATACAAACAGAATGTTGATCTTAAACGTCAAATCGACGTGTTGTGCTGTCATTTGTTTTTATTCAGTTTTCGCTGAATCTGCCGGGCTCTGACTGATCTCTCTCCACTCCCAAGCGCAGTGTGCAACATTTTCAACACATCCCGCTGGTATCTGACGTCATACTCCTCATACTCTTCCAGCCAATTAGCGAGGACAAAGGTTTGAGCCTTCTTGCTTCCGGTAACTTCCATGGCTTTCTTTCTGACGTCATTCCTGTCTTCAGGCGACAATTTGTCATCGTGCGTGACGGCTGTTATTATGGTAACACCTAAATAAGAAGACACGGAGAAGTTTCAACATCGGGAAGAACAAAGGACAATTTTACAGTTCCATAAAAATTCAGTTATTCGAAACATCGTTTACCGCAAAGTTCGCGCCAGAAAGATGATGATGATAGTGATGATGATGCCGCAGATCGGCGAAAGCTGGATATTTTAAAAGGATTTTAACATCAATTTTGCAGTAGTTTTTCAGTAGTGTAGGGTCTCAATTGAACTTTTGTCAGTTTCATTTAGCGTCAGAAACTTTTATGTTGGGTCGGCGAGCCGGTAAGTGAAACATTTAGACTAACCGCCGCGACGAATAAGGTCTGTAACAACTCATAGAGGCTTTTAGTTTAGACGCAGTTTTATGGTCAGATCGGGAGGAGGGGGGAAACCCATGTGAAAAAGTCGGGGATTCTTGTCGGGACGGCTGAAAATAGTGACTTTTCGTTGTGAACACTCTAATTTAGACTAAAATCCGTTATTTCTACCCCTGAGCGAGACGACGAGCATCTGCGACCTTTTCATCTGGGAGTCCCCCCACACCGACGGACGGATATCAAACAAGGATTCTTCTTTGAGGTTGGAAATTTGCCACAATGGGCAATTTCGCAAAAACCTGAGATACTCTGAGATACTCTGTAACAGCATAATTTTGTGCAGCTGAGAATTCACAGACCCTTCATGGTCTTCATGGCATGAAATTGAGATTAGACAAGATGGAAGGAGCTTGTTTCCCTATAGACTCCCTTTTGTTCGAAAATCCGTGCCTGCGCTAATCGCGGCTTCGATGTCAAGCTCGCACGCTCACGACCGCTCACTTGTGTTGCGTTCTTCTTTGCGTTCTTCCCCACGGATTTTCGAGAAAAAGAGAGACTGCTCGCTGTCTACTTTCTGTATTTAAGTCAGGTATACAAGACAAATGAGATTGAACTAACCTTCCTTGTTTAACATTTGTCGCACGAAATCAAACTTGTCCATATACTGGTCATTCACAAAACGAATGTCGTTGGCTTTGATTACCCACAATACCACGTGAACCTGGTCAGCAACTGGAGGCTTCTCGAGCCTGCAAGCAGCTTGGCCAGCTTCTTTAGCCTTCTCTTCAGCCCAGTCCCCTCGCTTTATAAGATCTCCTGTCGAGACAGTGCCGTATAAAATTCGAAAGAGTTCATCTGAAACAATACGAGTGCAAAATATTTTAGCAAGAAGCGTAGTGAACAACAGTTGAAGAACGTTATTTATTTGTTACTTATGAGACACTAAGAAATGTCACCTTATAACGGTCTATAACTTGCCAAAAGCTGTGGGAAGACAAAGCCTGACCATCAGGTCACTAACTAAAAAAAAGACAGACTGAAACTACAGTGCAAAACGGGGTAAAGCAGTATTTATTAACCAAGATTTTAACTAATGAAGCTACTGATTCTTCTTTAGTGCACAAGGCCGTAGAGAAGACTAGATATTGACCAAAGAATTCTACCTACTTTTCCCTTCCCTTTTGCTATGTTATAATGTACATATAGTTGCTAAACAAGATACGGAAACAGGTTAACCAAATAGTTTATTTCTATAGGGTCCTCTGCAAAATCCTGCATTTTTAAAGAAACCTTACATGGTATCACCATTCACAACAGCAGAAAATTTCGCGTGACGTCCGAATAAAATGCTCTCCACCCGATCGATCGTGACGTGTAGCCGAATGAGGAAGGTGAAAACTGGCGAATAACAGTATAAATCGTTTTCACTGTCACGCAATAAAAAAAATAAATCGAAAACCATCCAGTGGAAAAAGCTATGAACTTACGATGTTATAGAAAACAACTAAATAAGACACTTCTCCAAGTTTTAGGCCTGTGCGTTTCCCCAAACTTCAGATATTCGTCGAAATGTTTCGCAGATATTTGCAGAGCCCAGTATGAAAACGCCATGTTGGTGTACCTTCGTGGCACACCAATATGGCGGCCGGAAAATAGTGTAAACATCTGGAACTTACTTTGGCTATCTAGGCGACTGATTATCAGT